CAGCCCCACAAGCAGCTCCCTGAATCCCCCTCCCTCATCGTGCCCCCCAAATCCTGGTCCCCATGTGATCCTTTCCCCTTTCCAGGCCAAAACCAGCTCCGAATTCCCACTCGGGCTCCTCAGGGAAGGGTGACACAGACTGGGGACGCTATGGGGTGAAAGCCCCCACACCCCAGGGATGGACAGGACCCTCACCRAGGCGCAGCCCCCCGGGGGTCAGGGCACTCCTGTCCCCTGGGCACGTGTTCTTGTTGGCGGTGATGGAGACGAGCTCCAGCACCCGCTCGGCCCTGGCGCCGTCGATGCCCTTGGGCCGCAGGTCCACCAGCACCAGGTGGTTGTCAGTGCCACCTGGGGAGAAAGGAGAGGGGTGAGGAGCCCTGAGAGCCCCTAGATTCGCCTGACAGCACTTTCTTGCTGCCTCTGTTCTGCCTAGCCCCTGTTCTTCAGCCCCAAATCCTCCTGGTGGCCTCGAAAATGAGCAGAGCTACGCGTTCCCTGCCACAGCTCGTCCCCATTTCTCCACCTCAAATCCCCCTGCTCACCCCAAAACTGCCAAAACTGAGCAGAGCCACTCATTCCCTGCCACAGCTCACCCCCATTTCTCCACCCCAAATCCCCCTGTGCACCCCACTACTGCCTGGTGGCCCCAAAAATGCCAAAACTGAGCAGAGCCACTCATCCCCTACTACAGTTCGTCCCCATTTCTCCACCCCAAATCCCCCTGCACATCCCTGGTGGCCAAAACTGAGCAGAGCCACTCATCCCCCACCACAGCTCGCCCCCATTTCTCCACCCCAAATCCCCCTGGGTACCCCACTGCTGCCTGGTGGCCCCAAAAATGAGCAGAGCCACTCGTTCCCCACGACAGCTCACTCCTATTTCTCCACCCCAAATCCCTCTGCACATCCCTGGTGGCCCCAAAACTGCCAAAACTGAGCAGAGCCACTTGTCCCCCGCCACAGCTCACCCCCATTTCTCCACCCCAAATCCCCCTGCTCACCCCAAAACTGCCGAAAATGAGCAGAGCCACTCGTTCCTCACCTCAGTTTGACCCCATTCCTCTGCCCTCCAATTCCCCTGTGCACCCCAAAACTGCCAAAACTGAGCAGAGCCACTCGTCCCCTACCACAGCTCGTCCCCATTTCTCCACCCCAAATCCCCCTGTGCACCCCAAAACTGCCGAAAATGAGCAGAGCCACTCATTCCCTGCCACAGCTCACCCCCATTTCTCCAACCCAAATCCTCCTGTGCACCCCAAAACTGCCAAAACTGAGCAGAGCCACTCATTCCCCGCCACAGATTGCTCCCATTTCTCCATCCCAAATCCCCCTGCGCACCCCAAAACTGAGCAGAGCCACTCGTCCCCTGCTGCAGCTCATCCCCATTTCTCCACCCCCAATCCCCCTGCACCCCCCACTGCTGCCTGGTGGCCCCAAAACTGCCAAAACTGAGCAGAGTCACTAGTCCCCCGCCACAGCTCACCCCCATTTCTCCAACCCCAAATCCCCCTGTGCACCCCAAAACTGTTGAAACTGAGCAGAGCCACTCGTCCCCATTTCTCCACCCCAAATCCCCCTGCACATCCCTGGTGGCCCCGAAAATGAGCAGAGCCACTCATCCCCTGCCACAGCTCGTCCCCATTTCTCCATCCCAAATCCCCCTGAGCACCCCACTGCTGCCTGGTGGCCTCAAAACCACTTCTCCATCCCCCTTCTCGTCCYCAAACCCGCGGGGCTCAGCCTTACCTGACACCAGGGTGTACCCACGCTGCAGCAGCGCCTGYGCCATGGCTTTGGCATTCCTCAGGACCTGCTGGCAGTACTCCCTGAACGCTGGGGAGCTGGCCTGGAAATGGGATCACCCCATCAGCACAACAGGATCAGGTCAAGGGGGGTGTCCTAGGTTAGCTGAGTATTGTATTCCTATCATCTGCTTATGTTA